TTATAAATTATTGTATAGCACTATGATTATTCAAAACATATGTGTCTGAAGATTTTTTGTTTGTTTAGTATATAAATAACACAATGTCCTTAGTTAATAGTTTTTGCTTACATTATTGCCAATATGTTAGTTTCTTGGCAGTATCAAATTTTATAATTTCTATAAATAAATCATTATTTGTTTCAAGGTAAAGTTTTGATTGCCAATTTTTTACTTCCTAAATTGTGTTAAGTAATAAGGTGTCAATCTTTAAAGTTGKTATAATTTATTTCAACTACTTATTTATATTTATATAATATTATCTACTTAATTTTATATTTAATTTTRATCACATTTTATGTATTTAACTTTTTTAGGATGCAGTAGCTGATACTGATGTAGTTATTATTCCAGCAGGAATTCCCCGTAAACCTGGTATGACACGAGATGATTTATTTAATACAAATATTTCAATTGTATGCGATATTATTAAGGTTATTGGACAAGTCAGTCCTCACGCTCTTGTTGGAATTATATCAAATCCAGTAAGTAYTTATTTTTATAATTTAACTAGTGGTTTAGTATCCAGTATAGTTTAGAGCAGTGTTTCTTATCCTTTTTGATATCACGGAACACCAGGCAGTAATATTTTTTTCATGCGGAACCCCTCTGAAAATATCTTTAAAAAAGAAGGGTACACAAAACATGGCGATAAGCGGCAACATTGGCAATGCACTAAACTTTAGTGATTAAAATACTAAATACACTGTATGAAAATACAATTAAATTATTTATTTAGAATTAAGATTATATTATAAACTTTAAAGAATGTAATAGCTCATTGTAAAGTAATAAACTAAAAACTTATAGGTACCTAAAACCTTGCCATTGAACATTTTTATTGTTTATATGTTTTTTCATTATTTATATTTACAATCTGTATTCATCTAGTTACACAATGAAAAAATTGGAGAGGAATTTATTGGTATGAAGGGGAAGTTACCTATAGTTACTTCAGACACCCCATGAGAAAGATTTTAAGAGGACGCTACACCCGCATGTGTTGTCTCCGTCTTACAAGTACGTAACATTGCAAAAACTGTTTCGTGCGGGAAAGAACCGAGAAGGCTACAGTCATAACTAAAAAACGAAATTCTCACCACAGATAAAAGGGAATTTCGACTGTGCAACGTTGTTTTTATTTTTTTGATATTAGWACTGAAAAAAAAGTTATTCGATTTTGAAAAATGCAAAAATAATGCATTTTGAAACAATAAGAACTTTTTTTCTATTTGTGATATCGAAAAATTGAAAACAATGTTGCACAGTAAATGTTCTCCTTATTATGTGG